TTTATGTGATGAATATTTACTTTATTTTGTTTATTTGACATATTTTTTGTATTAAATTTAAATTTTTTTTCCATTGAATAACATTTTTTCGATTGTCCTCTATATCTAGAGTTAAGAGGCAGTTGAAAGTTATAAAGTCTGACGGGTACGTCAATTGGAATGTTTTCTATTTATTTAAAAAAATGTCATATTAGTAAAAATTAAATTGAATTTATCAATTTTTTGTTAAAAAAATAAATATTTTAACTGCTAAATGTGTGCAAAACACAAAATTAATTCGAATATACAAAATTCCATAAATTCAAAATAGATCATTCATCGTAAAATTACATTTTCATTTGTTAAACAGCTACGACGATGACGTCAAAAAGTTGAAGTCTGCCTCGAAACCTGACGACAAGAAATCAGAAAACGCTGCAGCTGACGTTAGAGAACTGAGTAAAAATCCCTCAAAAGTGTCACAAAATCGTCGAACACTAACTGAGAAGAAACAAAAACCAAACCCTGAGGCCAAAAGCGAAAATGCCGATCTGAAAGCTTTATCATCCCCAAAAATGAAGCCACCACTAAAAGCACCCCCGCCATCCAAAGCCTCTTCTCTAACTACCTCACCATCCACAACAGAACATACCCCACCAGTACCCTACTATCCATACCCATATCCTTCTTATTATCCCGTGTATATGGTACCTGTTCCTTATCATTCATACCCCCCACAATCGCATTTGTCGCAACCGTCGCAGCCACAATTTTCACCGGCGTCTTCTACCTCTGCCACTGAAGCTACTACGACTTTTTAATTTTTTTTCTGTTCCTATGAATGTAACACAGATTATTGTGGTTGTGTTTGTGTGTTTAGTTTACAAGAATTTGGGGTTTGGCCAAAAAAATGGTTTTGGTATTGTTTTGAAGTTTGTAGAAGTTTATCAAGGGAATATTTCAAATGCCAAAGATTTTATTTCAAAAAAATTTGAAAATACGTATAAATTGAAATCATTCAAATACAAGAAAATAAAATCACAAAACGTTTTGTTCTATGTCTTTTCATATTGTAAACAAAAACAGTAGCAGTTGTTCCTACAACTATTTTCCTTCTTTTTTCAGAAGTTACTAAGAATAAATATAAATAAACAAATATTTAATTAATTTATCAATATTTTAATTTATTTAATAATATTATTTCTTATATTTCTCAAATGAAAGTAAGTGACAAATATGAAAATTGGATTATAACCTAACTATCCTTAACTACAAATGACACGCAATGCGTTAGAAAAGAAGCGATCTTAAACTTTTTATATAAAATTTCGGTAATTATGANATTAAAAAGCACGATAAAATGAATAATATTAATAAATAATAATAATAAATATAATAATATTGAA